ACCCAGGGCCTTGCACTTGCTAGGCAAGCACTCTACACTTGAGCTATGGGCACTTCTATCCCACTTCCACCCTAGCTTTTTAGTTTTGTTTTGAGAGAGGGTCAATTACCTTACTTAGGCTAGCCTCAAACTCACAATCCTGCCTGTCTCCCAAATAACCTGGGATTACAGCTATGTGCTACCATGCCAGACTATCTTGCTTGTACTTGAGCTAGCAATTGATAAGACTGTTAAACATCTCCTATATATGTATTTATCTATTGCTCCTGTGATTCTATCACAAGTTTTTCCTTGACAACATGTCAAGGTTACTTTGCTAAATACATAAATTCATAACTATTGCCATCAGGGTGGCTCACATATATAACCCCCCCCTAACTACATGGTAGACAGATATTGGAGAAACATGGTTCAAGGTCAGCCCAAGCAAAAAGTTTGTGAGATCCCAGATCAATCAATAAAAGCAGGACATAGTGACTGTAATGTGCCTGTCATCCCAACTATATGGCTTGGCACTGGTTGTTCATGCTTGTAATTCTAGCTACTCAGGAGGCTAAGATCTAAGAATTGTGGTTCAAAGCCAGCCCAGGCAGGAAAGTCCATAGACCCTTATCTCCAATTAACCACCAGAAAACCAGAAGTGGCCCTGTGGCTCAAGTGGTAGAGCAGTAGCCTTGAGCTGAAGAGCTCAGGGACAGTGTCCAGGCCCAGAGTTCAAGCCCCATGAACAACAACAACAACAACAAAAGATGACTATGGGTGATTCCAGGCTGGCCAGAATATAACTAAAGCCAAAAGGAATGTGGCTCAAGTAGTATTGGACTTAAATGGACACAGTGACTCATAACTGTAATTACCACAGAGGCAGAGATAAAGAAGATTGCAGTTCAAGGCTGGCCCAGAAAAAACTCATAATAATGTCAACTTCAAAACATTTATTAGCAATTTTCATTAGTTTGTACTTATTTATCAGCTATACAGTACTCCAAACAAGTAACAAATACAACTATTACAACAGTGAGGACTAGAAGTATGGTTCAAGTGTTAAGAGTGCTTGCCTAGGTGTAAGGCCCAAAACTCAAACCAGAACAAAATAGTAAGTCAAAACCAAAACAAAACAGTATTTAAACTTTCAGGATTACCTTGACCTAGCTTGTTGAAAGATAAAACGAAGACTGTTGAGCACATCAGAACCACATTATATACTGTAATACCTGTGCAATCATAAGTTAGTAGGTTCAGACTTTAAGTAGGTTCAATAACATAAAATGGTGTTTAGAAGAAATATTGTTTATTATGACATAGTTAAGGAGTCAAGACAAAAACTAAATAACTATCACTGACCTCATAAAACATTCAGTGCCTTTAGAAATGACACTAAAAACTCTTCAAAAGGATCATATAATTCTGTAATTGTGTAAAAAGATACCTCAACTACTATCTTTAACAAGCTTAAGCTTATTGAGAACTTCAGATAATAAAGATAAAACAGTACAGGGTCTGGGAATGTGGCTTAGTGGTAGAGTGCTTGCCTACTATGCATGAAGCCCTGGATTCGATTCCTTAGTACCACATAAGCAGAGAAAGCTGAAAGTGGCACGGTGGATCAAGTGGTAGAGTGCTAGCCTTGAGCAAAAGCAGCTCAGGGACAGTGCCCAGGCCCTGAGTTCAAGCCTGGAACTGTCCAAAAAAAAAAAAAAAAAAAGATACAGCAGTACAGCAAAGATTGATCCTATTAGATCTGAATGTCTAAGGTAATTTTACCATATTAAGTATGACTTTTGCTTATTTTGTGTGTGCCAGTCCTGGACACTGTCTCAAGCTTTTGTGCTCAAGGCCAGTACTCTAACCTTGAGCCACAGCTCCACTTCTGGTTTTTTTGGTGGTTAATTGTAGATAAGAATCTCATTTAAAAAAAAAAAGAATCCCATAGACTCCAGTCTGGACTGGCTTCAAGGGGCAATCTTCAAATCCCAGCTTCCTGAGTAGCCAGAATTACAGGCATGAGCCACCAGCACCTGGCAAACCAAGTATGTTTTATTTAGTAACCAGCCATACAATTTAGAAATATAAAACTACAATTGATAATGTTATCAGAAAGGAGATGTTATATTTTTCAGAATTTTACAGAAAAGACAGCTAAGCTCAAGAAAAATTGGAAATGCAATCATTTTATTTCTGAATAAAGAAATACAAAAAGCAAATCAAATAGGCTTTGGACAAGAGTAACTTCAATTTATTGGATAATAAAAAATGAAGGGAAGGGAAAAAGCTGTGAGAGGATGATACAGCTATTAGAGATCCTGGTATAGATATAAAGAAAAAAATCATGACATTAACTTGTATCATATTGGATTTGAACTTAAAGGAAACACTACCACCAAGATCTTATCCATATACATTAAACGTAGAATATATCACATCCTGACAACAGCATACCACTGCAGTGCCTTATCTATCCATGGTGGAAACAAATTTTAAAAGAGAGACAGTAGCTCGGTGGTATTTTACTTACGTAGCATGTACATGGCCCTGGGCTCTAGAGGACTATAGAAACCATATCTAGATCATTCTAGGCCAATACTCAAAATGTGAACATCTCCCATGACTCTCCAAAGTAAATCCCCCATCATATTCACTCATGTGTTTGCCTTACATGCTTTCCTTTTTTTTTTTTAGGTTCCGGTCCTGGGGCCTAAACTCTGGGCCTGGGCGCTGTCCCTCAGCTCTTCAGCTCAAGGCTAGCGCTCTACCATTTGAGCCACAGTGCCACTTCCGGCTTTTTTCTTTTTGCTTATGTGGTGCTGAGGAATCGAACCCAGGGCCTCATGCATGCAAGGCAAGCGCTCAACCACTGAGCCACCTTCCCAGCCCCATGCTTTCCATTTTTTAAAAAAAGTTTACTTTTCTTTTTAATTAATAACTTTTTTGTGAAAATACCATACATAGGGATTACAATTACATGAGCAAGGTAATGTGTACATATCAAGCATTGTTGCCTCCTCCTTTGTTTCCCCTATGATTGAAGTATGCTCTCCTTTTCAACAGCTTATGTTCAATATAAGCTTATTTCAATGTAGCTTATTGTTCTACATCTGATTTCTTTTTTCTTTTTTTTTTGTAGGTTGAGGGGCCTGAACTCTGGGCCTGGGCGCTGTCCCTCAGTTCTTCAACTCCAGGCTAGCACTCTACCACTTGTGCCACAGCGCCACTTCTTGCTTTTTCTGCTTATGTGGTGCTAAGGAATCGACCCAGGGCCTCATGGGTGCAAGGCAAGCACTCTACTACTGAGCCACCTTCCCAGCCCTACATATGATTTCTATACCTTGAAGAACCACTGAATATTGCTCCTTTGTCTACTCAACACCTAAATACAATTTCTGCTTCACAGTAAGGACTTAAGTATTTACTAAATAACTAAACATTTGTTGAATTAATTCTACCAAATGTCAGTTTAACATATCATAGCTAACTCTACTATTAGAGTATCATCAATCCTGGTTTGCTCAGGACTGCATCTCCAGTGCTGAAAGCCTCATGTCTAAGAACTATTCAGGACAGTATAATTAACTGTCAGCACTTAATCAGCACTTAACAGTAAAAAAGAAGTCAAAATATGCATTTTCAACTAGCTTTTCAATTCCACTGATAACTCTAGCTTCTAAATAGTATTCTGCCACCATACATTATAAAAATATATAAAACCAAGGTTTATTCAGTGATAAAATTAACATGACACTATCAAAATACTAAACATTTTAGAACAGTTTTAGCATGGAGGTTAAGGAGCAAATTATAAACTTACCCTCTTTAGCCAAATACAGTTCCTTAAATTTTGCTCTTTTTTGATTAAATTCTTGCTCAAGCTGCTGTTGTGCACGCAAAAATTCTGCATTAATTTTTTCCAATTCTGCTACTCGTTGCTGAAGAGAAACTAAAAAAAAATATATACACTAGTTTAAATTTTTGTTTATAAATTAAGTTACAAAAATAAAGCCAATAGATACTCTAAAAATTCCAATCTATTCTAGCAAATTCTAAGTTTAAAACAAGGCAAGACACTTCATTAAGATAATACACAAAGTGGGCACCCGTGGCTCAAACCTGTAATCCTAGCTACTCAGAAGAGTGAGATCTGAGGATTGCAAAGCAAGCCCAGGTAGGAAAGTCCATGAGACTCTTATCTCCAATTAAGAGGAAGTGGCGCTGTAGCTCAAGTGGTAGAGCACTTGCCTTGAGCTGAAGAGCTCAGGGACAGTGTCCAGGCCCAGTGTTCAAGCCCCACAACCCAAAAACAAACAAACAAACAAAAACCCACTACATTGATGCCAGTGGCTCACATCTATAATCCTAGCTATTTAGGAGGCTATGATCTGGGGATCATGTTTCAAAGCCAACCCAGGCAAATATAACAAATTCTTATCTCCAATTAAAAAGGCCACAACCATAGGCATAGATCAAGTGGCAAAGCACCAGCCATGAGAGAAAGCCAAGTGAAAACATGAGGTCCTGAGTTCAAGTCTAGTATCAACATGAAGAGAGAGAGACAGAGACAGAGAGACAGAGGGAGGGAGAGAGGGAGGGAGAAAGAGAGGGAGAAACAGGGAGAGGGACAGAAAGATAAGAAGTGGGATGGGGGAGGGAGGGAGGGAGGATAGAAGGACCAACCACCACGAACAACTCTAGAATACTATCATCAAGGGGGGAAAAAGGCAATTTTGAGGAAGATGGGGAGGGTGTGTGAAAAGGAACCCTTATACATTTTTGGTTTTTTAGGCTGGTCGTGGGGCCTGAACTCTGGGCCTGGGCACTGTCCCTCAGCTCTTCAGCTCAAGGCTAGCGCTCTACCACTTGAGCCACTTCTGGCTTTATCTGCTTATGTGGGTGCTGAGGAATTGAACCCAGGGCCTCATGCATACGAGGCAAGCACTCTACTACTGAGCCACCTACCCAGCCCCTGTTGGTATACATTTGGCCAACTACTATGGAAATCAGCATCGTTTGCTCAAAAAATTTAAAAACAGAATTTTCGTATGATTCAGCTATACCACTCTGGATACATACGTGAAGCAATCTAGGTCAGCACACAACAGAGACATGTGCACACTCACACAACAGCTATGTTGTAGAAGCAGCCCAACTACTTCAGTGGATGAACAGATTTAAAGAAAATGTTGTATATATACACAGTAGAGTTTTATTCATCCTTTATATAACTATAAAATTAGGCTACACAAGTGGCTCACACCTGTAATTCTATCTACTCAGAAGGCTGAGATCTGAGGATCCTGGTCCAAAGCCACTTTAGGAAGAAAAGTCTGTGAGATTATTATTTCCAGTTAACCATCAAAAGCTGGAAGTGAAGCTGTGGCTCAAGTAGTAGAATGCCAGCCTTAGCAAGAGGGCTAAGGCCCAGCACCCAGGCCCTGAGTTCAAGCCCCAATCCCAGCACATGCGCGCGTGTGTGTGCGCACACACACACACACACACACACACACACACACAATAATAACAGTAATGAAATTACATCATTTGCAGAAAACAAATGAAATAAGATCATCATGTTAAGTAATATAGAATAGTCTCAAAAGGACATGTTTATAACTGGGTACCAGGTGCTCACACCTGTAATCCTAGCTGAGATCTGAGGATCGCAGTTCAAAGCCAGCCCAGGCAGCAAAGTCCATGAGAATCTTAACTCCAATTAATCACAGATAAAGCCAGAAGTTGAGCTGTGACTCAAGTGGTAGAGTGCTAGCCATGAGCAAAAAGGGACAGCACCCAGGGATAGCACCCCAGCCCAGAGTTCAAGCTCTACAACTGACAAAAAAATAAAAACAAAACAAAACATGTTTTCTCACATGTGGAAGGTAGGGAAGGGAAATTCAAACTTGATGGTAAGACAGCGACTATTAGGTATATGAAAGGGGGAAGAAGGGATAGAAAAGAATAAAAACCAGTGCCAGTCATGCTTGTAATCATAGTTAGTTGGGAGGCTGAGATGGGGAAGATCATGATTTGAGGCAAGCCCCAACAGAAGAGACCCCTTCCTCATCCAAGAATTGGGCACAGTGGCACAAGCCTGTTCTCCTAGCTACGATGGGAAGGCTAAATTAACATCCCCTCAGATACACAACCAGACAAAATAGCAAAACCCTGTCTCAAAAATAACCAGTGTAGGGGCTGGGAAGGTGGTTCAGTGGTAGAGTGCTTGTCTTGCACGTATGAGGCCCCGGGTTCGATTCCTCAGCACCACATATAAGCAAAAAGAAAAAAGCCAGAAGTGGCGCTGCGGCTCAAGTGGTAGAGTGCTAGCCTTGAGCTGAAGAGCTGAGGGACAGCACCCAGGCCCAGAGTTCAGGCCCCATGACCGGACTCAAAAAAAAAAAGAAAAAGAAATAAAATAACCAGTGTAGACAGGTGCAGGTGGCTTACACCTGTAGCTCTAGTTACTCAGGAGACTGAGATCTGGAGGACTACAGTTTAAAGCCAGCCAGGCAGAAAAGTTCATACAAGACAATATCTCCAAAATAACAAGCAAAAACACTTGACTGGAGGTGCAATTCAAGTGGTAGAGTACCAGCCAACATTCAATCAAACAAACTGAGCAAGCATGAGGCACTGGGTTCAACCTCCAGTGCCACCAAAAAGAAAGGAAGGCTGGGCACTGGTGGCTCACGCCTATAATCCTGGCTACTCAGAAGGCTGAGATCTGAGGATCATGGTTAAAAGCCATCCTGGGCAGGAAAGTCCATGAGATTCTTATATCCAATTAACTACCAGGGAGGCTGGGAATGTGGCTTAGTGGTAGAGTGCTTACCTAGCACGTATGAAGCCCTGGGTTCGATTCCTCAATACCACATAAACAGAAAAGGCCAGAAGTGGCACTGTGGCTCAAGTGGTAGAGTGCTAGCCTTGAGCAAAGAAGCTCAGGGTCAGTGCCAAGACCCTGAGTTCAAGCCCCAGGATTGGCAAAAAAAGAAAAAATGCCACCAGAAAATTGGAAGTGAGGCTGAGGCTCAAGTGGTAGAGTGCTTGCCTTGAGCTGAAATGCTCGGGAACACTGCCCAGCCCAGAGTTCAAGCCCCAGGAAGGAGTAGAGGGGAGGAGGGAAATAGGGTGCTTATGATTTAAATACATTATATGCATATTTGGAAACTTTGTACGATTAAGAAATGTTAATCATAAAAAATAAAAATCATGGGGCTTGGAAGGTGGCTCAGTGGTAGAGTGCTTGCCTTATATGCACGAGGCCCTGGGTTCGATTCCTCAGCACCATATAAGCAGAAAAAAAAGCCAGAAGTGGCACTGTGGCTCAAGTAGTACAGCACTAGCCTTGAGCTGAAGAGCTGAGGGACAGTGCCCAGGCCCAGAGTTCAGGCCCACGACCAGACCCAAAAAATAAAATTAAATAAAATAAAAATTAAAAATCACAAGTGCAAATTGTTTTCTGGGCTCTATTTCTGCTGCTATTTTTATTGCTACACCTGAATTGCTAAATAAATAGCTCTCTTACCAACACTTATATTACTGATACCTATTGATAACTGCAAAAGGAAGTACTCAAGGAATCACAAAAAGAGACAGCCACTCCACAATGTCCATGTACTACAAAGCATCTTATTGTTGGTTGGGTATGATATAGCTTTATGAACATGCATAAAGCCAGAGGTTCAATCACCAGAACAGAAAGAAAAAAAAGTTAATTATAAAAACAATGTGTCTATCAATCTCAAATAAATACAGTGGAAAAAAATACCCTCTGTTCTTATTTTTGCCCTAACAACTGCATCTTCCCCATCTCTCCCTACCTCCCAACCAAAACACACACAGGCACAAACAAAATGCTTATGCCACTCAACATTATATTTCTATTTATAATGATGCTATTGAATCAACAAAAACAAAAACGCAGACTTCAAAATTGAAGCCTTGCTCTGACCCACATTCAGACCCAGTACACACTCAAATCTGACTAGCTCTAGCTTCGACTCAGGGCCAAGTTGCTGTCTCTGAGCTTTTCACTCAAGGCTTGTGCTCTACCATTTGAGCCACAGCTCTACATCTAGATTTTTGGTGACTAATTGGAAAGTCTCACAGACTTTCTTTTTTGGGCTGGCTTCAAATGGTGATCCTCAGACGACAGCCTCCTGAGTAGCTAGGATTACAGGCATGAGCCACTGGCACCCAGCTTTATTATTATTTAATGAGGAGATAAGGTATTGTGAGACAAAGTCGAGGCTGGCATACAACTCCTGTAGCCCAGACTGTCATCAAACTTACATCCTCTTTTCAAGTACTTCAAACACACTGCAATTTTACAATACAGAAAAAAAATTAAATGCCTTGACTGTGATAGTTAGAAAAATCAACTTAAATAGACAGCAGAAATGTTTACAAACAGACATTCTGCAAAACATTAGCAATCACAACTCAATCAGGCTAAAAATAGCTCACCATAAAAATGCTGTATTGGTCTAATATGATGATTAATAGTTCACAAGGATTCACTAATAACTCAAATAAAAATTATTCAGTGTGTCATACAGAAAAAAATCAATAAATATTAGTTATTGATTTACATATAGGCATGTTAGCTGTTGTTATTTAAATAGCAGTATTTAATAAACAAAGAGTAGGGCTGGGAAGGTGGCTCAGTGGCAGAGCACTTGCCTTGCATGCATGAGGCCCTGGGTTCGATTCCCCAGCACCACATAAGCAAAAAGAAAAAAAGCCGGAAGTGGAGCTATGGCTCAAGTGGTAGAGTGTCAGCCTTGAGCTGAAGAGCTGAGGGACAGTGCCCAGGCCCAGAGTTCAGGCCCCTCGACTGGACCATAAATAAATAAATAAATGAGTAATTAAGTGACTTTATACAGAGCCACAAAGACCAGAACACAACTTCTCTCAACCTTGTGATTCTAACATAATTCCATATTTAGACTACAACTCATACTTTTTCCTATTATCACAAATCTTAATAGCATCTCAGACAAATTAATTAGTGTTAATGATTGCCTTCAACAATACTCAACTTTTTAAATTTAGGGACTAAGAGTTTCCATGGACCAGACTACATAAAAATTTCACACATTCCATGTCCTGTTACTTCAATTGAGTAATGAGAAAAAGAAATCGTCATTTAAGGGATATTTTTTTTTGGTTTGTGTATATGCTAGAATTAGCCTTTTTTTTTTTTTTTTGTCAGTTATGGGGCTTGAACACTGGGCCTGAGTGCTGTTCCTCTGCTCTTAAGCTCAAGGTTAGCACTCTACCACTTGAGCTACAGCTCCACTTATGGTTTTCTGGTGGTTTATTGGAGATAAGGGTTTCACAAGACTTTCCTGCCCGGTCTGGCTTTGAGCAGCAATTCTCAGGTCTCAGCCTCCTGAGTAGCTAGGATACAGGGATGAGCCACCAGTGCCCGGCTCTAGCTTTTTTTTGCTCAAGACTTGCTACCACTTGAGCATCAGTTCCACTTCTAGTTTTGGTGGGGGATTTTTTGGTGGTTAATTGGAGATAAGAGTCTCACAGAGGGGCTGGGAAGGTGGCTCAGTGGTAGAGCACTTGCCTTGTATGCATGAGGCCCTGGGTTCGATTCCTCAGCACCACATAAGCAAAAAAAAAAGCCGGAAGTGGCCCTGTGGCTCAAGTGGTAGAGTGCTAGTAGCCTTGAGCTGAAGAGCTGAGGGACAGTGCCCAGGCCCAGAGTTCAGGCCCCACGACAGGAGCCCTCCAAAAAATAAATAAATAATAAAAATAAATTTTAAAAAAAGAGTCTCACAGACTTTCCTGCCAGGACTGGCTTTAAACCAAGATCTTCAGATCTCAGCCTCCTGTGTAGCTAGGATTACAGGCTTGAGCCATGGGTGCTCCACAACTAAGAGCTACTTTTAATGCTTGACATTATCACTTACTCAAAACATCTGAATTAAGTAACAGGAATACAAAACTGGGGAAAATCATAAATAAATGAAGAATCCAATAATTCTTCAGTATTTTGTTTTTGCTTTGGTAAGGTTTTTCACTTTTTGTTTCTTGAGACAAGGTCTTGCTATATAGCCCAAGCTGGCCTCAAATTCTCTATCCTTCTGCTCTCAATTTCCAAATGCGGAGAGATACAGACTTGTACTACCACATCCAGCTTCATTTTCTCAAATATCAATTTGAATAAACGAAAAATGTAATAACTTTAAAATATTCTTCAAAAAAAGAAAATTAAATTTGATAAGACATAAAAGTTGGGCTGGGAAGGTGGCTCAGAGGTAGAGCGCTTGCCTT